CATGTGTGTGAAGATGGAAAGGTAGATAGAAGATGGAAATGAAAATTGAAAATTTGTGGGAGACACCAACCAAATGCTGGACATCATCCTCCAGGATCCTAAACAGGATTAACTTCTAAAAGCATTCATTCATCCTTTCATTCATCCATCCATCCATCCATTCATTCATTCATTCATCCATGCATCCATTCATTCCAGCTTTCAGTTACTTATCAAATATTTATTACATGTCTAATATGTGCTGGACATTGTGTTAGGTGTGAATTGCCTCTCATCTCTAGGCCATTTAGAATTGGTTCTACAACATTTAGTACTTAAGAGATATAAGGCAGTACATCTCTGATTCCTGATTGCTAGTCTTATACCTATAACTGGACTGTTCATCTCTCATGGGCATGGGCTATCATAATTTGTATTCTAACACAAGCTGAGTGTATATCTAATAAATAGGAAAACTCCTGTACTGGCTCTTTATCTATCTTCTTCTTTGCCATCTTGCTTTCAAGGTTAAAACCTTCAGAAAAATAGGGTTTAAATATTGCTGAAAAGAAAGTCGCATTACGGTTCCTTAGAGTAGTAACTCTCTCTACTTTCTCTTTTTTCTCTTCCCTTTCTAGAAAAATTTTCTAGAAAAATTTTGTCTTTCCCTGTTTTGAAGTCTGCAATGAAGAATACTATTTTAGTAAAGGTAATATAGTATTCTATCTTGAATTTGACTTTAAAAATTATGTCAAATTTTGTTTGACTTTGGAAGAATTTATTCTGATCTTAGAAAAATTATCATAATTTTTTGTACCATTCTATAGAAAATGGCATTTGGGAAGTTTTTTTGCACATAATATTTATCTAAAGCCACTACAATCTTTCACGGATATTTTCTTTCTCTTCATCATGAGGAGACATCTCTGTGGACATTATGCTGGGTATAAAGGAGGTATGGAATGGTATGGGGAGGGGGCCAACTACAGAGGGTAAAGTCCTGAGGCCAACTGTTAAATTTACAAATCACAACAAGTATTATCCAAGTTATGGTTTCATCCATGGCTGAAGTTGTTTATTCATCAAATACATATTGAGCATCTATTGTGTCTTAAGCACTGTTCTGGGGATATAGTAGTGACTGAGACAGAAAAAAGTTCTTTTCCTCATGGAACTCATCTTCTAGAAGGTGAAATTCTGAAGCTTTTCAGAAGAATATATGACATATTTTAATGGCTAGTCCAAAACAAGACTCAGTTTTAAAAAAAACTGCATAGTCATCCTCACATGGATGTTTAACATCTGATCTTTTTTTTTTAAGATTTTATTTATTTATTTATTTATTTATTTATTTATTTATTTATTTATTTGAGAGAGAAAGCACCAGCCAGGGGAGGGGCAGAGAAGCAGACTCCCCACTGGCAGGGAGCCTGATGTGGGACTTGGAGATCATGACCTGAGCCGAAGGCAGATGCTTAACCGACTGAACCACCCAGGTGCCCCTGATCTTTTTTTTTTTTAAAAAGTATGTCCGTGATTTTTTATGCACAGTTCACATTGATGGACATCTAATATTTTATTTACCAAGTACTATGTGTTCCTTTAGGAAATGCAGCTTTCGTATGGTCCAAAGAAAATCTATATCCAATTATGTTGTTAGAATTTTCTTCAAAGCTATCTATGCTGGTTTTTAATATATATTCACACACTTAACTAAAACTTGGGAGATGGGGATGGGGTTGGGGGGAAGGATACTAAGTTTCTTTAAAATTAGGTACCTTATTTCTTTTATGTATGCTTTTATTTTATTTTATTTTATTTTATTTTATTTTTTTGATCTTGGATGTAGGTCTATTTTCATTCTGAAATAAATGAAATGTACTCAGAATCTATAGATGGAAAAAGTTTCATGGCTGCTGGTACACAATGTTCTCTGTTATCTAGATTTTTAAAAATTTACCTTTGCATCCTTGGGTGATGCTAAGTTTTCTGTTCAATTCACTGTATCTACTGACCTTTTGTGGAGTCTGTTCTTCCAAAGCTTTTAAGATGGGAACACACAGCATGTTGCATTCCATGTCATGTCAGTCATTATTCTCTTTGACTTTACTTGTGTTCTCAAGTCAATATGTTCCAGATTAATGAGGCATTTGTTCCTAATCAAGAAACTATTTAAGAATACACTTTTAATTTTAACGACTTGTTTGTGATGAATTGTTTCTACATGCCCTTCTCATATTTGAAGATACTTCAAACCTGTTGCCTTTTTTTGCACAGTTCCCAAATGTCTGAACACTGGTAGTTGCTATGACCCAGTGATCTCAAGGGACTGAACAGACAGGGTTATTGATTTCCTTCAGAAAATCATTCAAATAGTTCCCTTAAACTAAAAATTACTTCAAATACCAATAATTTTCAAAGGAGCTGTTAAGCAAACTGTGTGGTTATACATTATATGTTTTTAATGTTCCCTTTAGACATCTACATCTAATGAAGTCCTACTGTTTTATGAGGAACCATGTTAGAAATAATTTGTGAAGTAAACTCTATGCCATTAGCTGATTTAATTAAAATGTACTCTGTTGCTTTATGTTTTATTTTTTCTTTAAATAACTATCAGGTAGGTGTGTGTGTGTGCACACATATGCTTTATTTGATGCTACACAAACAAGTGATTCATGACCTCTTAATAGTAACAGCTAACATCTATTGAGTGCTTATTATCTGCCAGGTTTTGTTCCCAGTCTGTTAAATCTACTAACTCATTTATTATTCTCCCCTGCCAATTTGGGAACCCTGTTTTATTCCGGTTTTATAAATCAAGAAACTGAGGCACCAAGATGATAGTGATTTGCCCAAGGTCACATAGAAATTACATGGCAGATTAGAAATTGGAAACCTAGTGGTCTGGCTCTAAAACTCAAGCTCCTAAACACAAGGCTATCCCACTCTAGACATGAAGAAGCTCCAGGTAGTGTCAGTCCCTTCTTAGGAACCTTAGTTATTTTGCACTACCTGAAGTGTATTTGTAAACCTTACTTATCTGTGGCCATTGTGCTAGCTACTTGGTTCTTTGGTCCTCCTTTTATAGGTGCTAAAAATGGAACAGAGGAATTAGACCCTTTCAAAATTTATATATTTGTTTATTTACTGGATTTATGTTTCTTTTAAACAGAGTATATTCAGTTGAGAAATGGAAACTTGGATTGCCAGAATTCCTCTGTGTCTCTATGATGGCTTTGAGCATATGAAAGAATAACACTAGTTGTCTTGTGATAATACAAATCATGTTGTGCTTGCTTAAGTAACTGACTTACTTTTGGGTTTCACGGTGAGTTCATTCCATTTCAAAGAGTTGTAGGAGAAATATGTCTCACTTATCTTTTAAAATGAGGACTCAATATAATTATGTTTCACTTTATTCCACCCAGGATTCCATGTTTTAGAATTATTTAAGATTCATTGTTGTTCCCAGTGTAAAGCCTAATGGGAATGACGGGTTTAAAGTTTCCTATCACTCCTATCATAGAAATAGAAGATTAGTCCGATTCATTGATAAGAAAGGAATAAGCATGGTTTGAATTTTTCTTTCATAAGTTACTTTCCACATGTTCCTGACAAGTCCACTGATCTCTTTGAAGCTCAGCATCCCATATGGTAAGTTCAGATGGTGGGAATTTTATTCATCAGGACCCTTTGGTTTGCATGTGATAGAATCCAACTAAAACTAATTTGAGCAAAGTAGAGAATTTAGAAGACTCAAGGATAGAAATCCAGCTGGATTTGAGGCAGAACTGAAAAAATGGAGACCTGAGCACCATTAGGACTTTGTGTAGCTCTTGCTTCTTTGACTTTCTGGTGTATGAGCTTTATTTTTTTTCTCTTTCTTATTTCCTCCCCTATTTTGTTTCACATGACTGGAAATATGGTTACTGATCGTTGGTCTCCTATCTTTACACATCATACTCTAGGCACCCAAAGAATGACTGTCATTTCTGGATAAAATATTCTGAGGGATGGATTCCAATTTTTCCCATTTGTGTCAGGTGCCTGACTGAAACTTGAAAGCTTTGGCTAAGAATATGAGGTCTGGGGTAAGGATTATGATAAAGTCTATGATAAAGTCTATCATTTTGAGTTTAGTGTCTACTCCTGAGCCAATAAACTGTTGCCCTAGAATAACATCTATGATAACCTCATGAATGGGGTGAGGAAAATGGGCATTTCCCAAATGAGGGGGCTGGACAGATAACTCCATGTGTGTCTGCTGTAGTTAACACCAGCTTATACATAATAATAGGCCCTTTTCTGTCTTTGATCATAATAAATGATATGAGAAGTCTACTTTTTTTTTTAAGATTTTATTTATTTATTTGTTAGAGAGAGAGAGCGTGGGCGAGAGAGAGTGAGCAAGGGTACAAGCAGGGGGAGCTGCAGGCAGAGGGAGAAGCAGGCTCCCTGCTGAGCAAGGAGCCTGATGCGAGACTTGATCCCAGGGCACTAGGATCATGACCTGAGCCGAAGGCAGCCGCTTAATCGACTGAGCCACCCAGGCGTCCCAAGAAGCCTACTTTTTGATGGGTATAAAATATTTAGCCCCAAGCCTACTGTACATATATAGATTCTTCTATAAAACATCTTTGTCTATGATTTTCCTGTAAATGGATATGTGTTTATTTATTAATCGATTAAAACTGAACTTTGGGATTCATGGATAGCAATTGTTTAATTGATCAAAACTGAGTTTTGGGGTTTAGGGAGAGCTTAAAATAAAGAATAGAGATTGTAGGGAGAGCATTAAATTCTGAGTTATTACAAATGTAACTAAATAATAAGTAAGATTTGGAACCAGGAAAAACAATCGTATTGAATAAAAAAAAATGGAAGATTAATTGAATCTGGTAGATTAGCAGGTAAGAAGTGAAATTAAAAGAGTCTTTTATGAAACCTGGAAACCAGTATGAATTCATAGTTTGAGTCTTAGAAGAACCAGGCTCTGATGGATATTTTCTGTTTGACAGATTTATACTGGGAAGGAACCAGACTTGGGTGATGAAAAAGACACCCTGGATAGAATAATTTATACATAAGATGCAAAATGTAGAACGCTTCTTTTTCAGGTAAGTATCTGTCCAGGTGTGATGTGGATATGGCAACGTTTCCTACTTTCCCCAGTGTGGCTTTGTAGTACTCAAGGCTATTGTCAGTGTCTTGCCAGGGAGGAGGGCTAACGTGAGAGCTCAATTCCTGCAAGTTCCTAGTGGCAGGAGGAGTGATGGGGAAGGTAGGCACCTTGCACTTGACACTTCACTGTACCCCGTTTTCAATTGGCTTTTAATTTTGTGAAGGAGACCACTCATAGTTTACAAAGGATCAGAGAGCAAGGCTGTGGTGTGCACACTACTATTTCTATTTATTTTATTTTATTTATTTATTTATTTTTTTAAAGATTTTATTTATTTATTGAGAGAAAGAGAATGAGAGACAGAGAGCATGAGAGGGGGGAGGGTCGGGAGGGTCAGAGGGAGAAGCAGACTCCCCGCCAAGCAGGGAGCCCGATGCGGGACTCGATCCCGGACTCCAGGATCATGACCTGAGCCGAAGGCAGTCTCTTAACCAACTGAGCCACCCAAGCGCCCCACTATTTCTGTTTAGTGCATTTTTCTTTCATGGGTCCAGTGTCACCTGCGATCTGTCCAAGGTCGTTTTATTTTTTTTTACTCTTTCTTGCGATAGAGGTCATGTGTTGTAATTTGGACTCCGGTCGGCATTTCATGTTACTGCATGCACTGTAAATTCAGTCAGCAAGCCTTTATTGAACAGAAAGTACTTGAAACACTGTGTGGAGAACCCTGAATGAAGTATTTTAATTGGGAAGGGTCACTGACTAATAGAATAGTTCTAATCTTTATGGGCTCCAGATCATTCCGTCTGTTAGCACTGGGTTAGGTGGCAGGAGGTTGCAGACCAAAGCCTAGGAGAATTTCAGACAAAGCTTGAGGGAAGGCTTTAGACCCACATGGGTCTAAAATCCCAGGCAGGCAACACAGATGAAAGCCATGGGAAAAGAGATTGAGCCAGCGGAATCAGGAAAACAAACACAAAACAGTTATAAATAGCAAGGGACAGAAGTTAGGTAAGGAAATGGGTTTAAGGACAAGGAAATTTAAAAAAAACACACACATACAAACAAAAAAACCCAGTAAGAACTCACTAGTCTCAGGGCTGGTCATTCAGATGGAATCTGGAACCCAAGTCAGCCTGACTATCTGGAGGTTTAGAAGATAAGAACTACTGGCCCATAGACCAAGGGGCCAAGAACAGATTCTATCCTTGACTTCCTTTACAACCCTCTTGGCCTCATTCAGTTTTAAATGGAGACCGCTGTTTTATTCAGAATATTTTAGATGAGGGCGCCTGGGTGGCTCAGTTGGTTAAGCAACTGCCTTCGGCTCAGGTCATGATCCTGGAGTCCCTGGATCGAGTCCCACATCAAGCTCTCTGCTTGGCAGGGAGTCTGCTTCTCTCTCTCTGACCCTCTCCCCTCTCATGTGCTCTCTCTCTCATTCTCTCTCTCTCAAATAAATAAATAAAAAAATCTTAAAAAAAAAATATTTTAGATGAGCTTTGTTTGGAACTCATCTGAACTTTGACTGCAGCTGAGACCATCCTACCCCTTAGGACATTTTTCTTTCTGAAATACCAGATGCTTCTGAATAGGTTATACCAGGACTCACAGACTAAGAATAATTGACATCATGGAGGTCAGACGCTAAGCTGTGTGCTTGCCATGTAATAAACACTCAGTAAATGTTAGTGATGATGATCATATCATGTGATTACCATTTCTTTTTTTACTGCTTGCCCTGGTAGATGCTGCCTCACACAGCGTCAGTCATATGGGAGTCAGTTGCCTTGGCTCACACAGACCTCATAATTATTTTAAAAATGCATCTGAAATCTCATTTCATCCCAACACCAGTTTCCAGGCACATTGTAGCCAATCTCTTTTCTTTGACCTAAGCATATACTATAAACGATTCTAGTTTCTTTAGCTAGTTTTAGATACCAAAAAAAAAAAAAAAAAAAAAAAAAAAAATCTATTTCCTCATCTCAAATCTTTTGAAAAGCCAAGTGCATGATGTTGTTCCAGAGTCATCATTATCAATTTTAAGGTCAGAAAGCGAAAATTCCTGTTACTGCAGAGACAAGGGGAGATCCCAATCCCCAGATGCCATTTGGTACTGTCCTCATATTTTTTTCCCCCCAAACATTTAATCCTAGCACCAAGACAAAGTTCACTTGTCTGAATTCCTGATATTTCTTTTGGTTTCCCTTTTTTTAAAAAAATGGCTGCTATGTTAGAACTGGACAATCTTCAACAATAGTTGCTATTTTTAGGAACATAGTATCTGTCCTCATCCATCTCTGCTGTTTCACACCTTATTTGCTTCAGAACACTCAGATAAATGCCATCTGGCCTGAGTGCTTTATTGAACTTTGTTTTCTTCTATTGCAGCATCTCTTCTTCATTGGAAACGCTAATCTCTGTTTTTCTTGTGAAAAGCATTCTCAGAAATTAGAATTTCCCCATCATTTCCTAGAGTTGAGTGTTGCCAAAGAACCAAACAAAAACCCTCTCTGGGCTTGTGTTCCTCTAACCTTATTATTCCCTTCTGACCACCTACAACATCGTCCAATGGTTTATATGTTAGTGAGTCTATTATCTGGCCAAGCTGGATTCCTACTTTAGAAGACTGCCTTTTCTTCACGAATGCTTTAACTTTTTCTTCTTTTAGAAGTGGTTCTGTTCAGTCTTCTGCTTACCTTTTTGACTATTTTCTCTGATATATTCAGGTCTCTTTTCTCCTGGTTGTCGGCTTTTGATGGACAACAAGTTAATTTCTTGGATTGATATTTTAGGCAAGAAGAACTAGAGGACATTTGAGCTTCCTTTGGCCCCAGATTCTATAGTTCTGTAACTTTACAATTCACATACTTTTATTACTTCTGTCCAAATAGTCTTCATTAAATGGGAATAACACCACTGGTAGTTTTTGTTTTTTGTTTTTTTTAAAGATTTTTTTTTTTTTTAACCTGACAGAGAGAGAGAGACAGTGAGAAAGAGAACATAAGCAGGGGGAGTGGGAGAGGGAGAAGCAGGCTTCCCGCTGAGCAGGGAGACCATTGCGGGGCTCCATCCCAGGATCCTGGGATCATGACCTGAGGTGAAGGCAGACGCTTAACGACTGAGCCACCCAGGCGCCCCCACCGGTAGTTTTTGTATCACAGTGCTAGATCATCTGGTTTTGGATTTTGTCCCGGATACTTTTTAGTGGTATGCTGCTGGCTGAATTGTTTAGCTTAAGTTTTCTTATTTCTAAAATGGGAGTAATAAAACTATCCATTCTTCAAGGTTGTTACGATAATTAATGTATTGTGTACATTAGGAGTTAATAAACATAACATGCCTAGAAGGTGCCTGACACATTATAAATGTGTAACAACTGTTAGTAATATGTTATTCCCCTTGATTCAGTGGATGTTAGATTAGCCACAATATCAAATACCACCTGTCACAAAGCTGACATCTTAAATGGAGGATAGAACAATGTCATGGTGAGAAAAGAAAGTCATTTGGTACAAATGTGAAAAGGAAATCAGATATACCTCACAACATTATCAAACACAGGACATGGTCAAGAAAATTTGGCAGAAGTTTTTAAACTTAGAAGACATGAAAACAAAAGTAATGCATGGGAAGGCATTATTTACAGTATTGGTAGATAGTAAGTTATTCTAAACAGCTTATCTCATAACATCTTGATTTCATCATGAGTGAGAAGATAGGCTTAAATCATTATTTGGGTGATATGAGGACAGTCCTCCTCTGCTCCATGCTGACCATGTACTCCTGGGCAAGTCCTTTGACTTAGTAGTTCTTTCTGATAAGGAAAATACATAATTTGGCATCAAATCAGGACTTTTGCCCTTTGGAGGCCTAGAAGCTTATAGAAAGGAGCTACCTGTGTCTATTTTTAACCTACTCTCTGTTAGCTTGGAATCTTTGGTTACATGGAGTCTGGTGTCCTCGGTCTTGAGGGTCAATCTTTAGTCCAGCATGATTAGCATGAGAGAACAGGGTTTTGAGAGTCTGTGGCTGCTCATATGGATGTATTTGAGTTCTAAAACTCATTCTCTGGATGAGCCAGTTATTATGAGAATAATCCATGGACTCTGATTTATAAATTATATATAATCAAGTCAAATATATACAATTAAATGTCTATAATGTAAAAATATATAATATGGAAATATTAAAAACCAAAGCTGTCAGTCTGGGCTACTGGTCTAGGCTAATCCCACAACTGGTTTAGATGTTTGAACTAAGCTAGGGCTGCCCAGTCTTGCCCGAGAGCTGATTACATGAATTCTCTTCCCTGTGCTTGGGACTATGAGACCAAAATCTCTTGGGCAATCTCCCTAATGCTTTTCGTATAGAGCTTGCTTATCTGATAATCAAAGGACCCCTAATTTGCTTGAAGGGTGAATTAAACTGTACCTATTTGCAATTAAAAAGTAACTTGAATGATTGTTCACGTAAGTTGTATATAAAGAACATAATTTCCCTGCCTTGACATCATTTTTTTCTACTTCAATTAATAATAAGAAGGTGACCACACGGGTGCCTGGGTGGCTCAGTCGTTAAGCATCTGCCTTCGGGGGTCCTGGGATCGAGTCCCACATCGGGCTCCCTGCTCTGCGGGAAGCCTGCTTCTCCCTCTCCCACTCCCCCTGCTTGTGTTCCTGCTTTCGCTATGTCTCTCTCTGTCAAATAAATAAATAAAATCTTAAAAAAAAAAAAAAAGAAGGTGACCACACATGTTTAATGCTTGGCTGGGTAGGAGATCTTGAAATCTTTGGCAATACCAACTTTTAAGCTCCTATATTGGGAATGGGAAGATGTTTGTTTCCCCAACACCTTTGTGAACCTATAACCAATATTAATATTTTAATGAAACGTTGTATTTGGGGTTTGCATTAATGTCTGAACATCATTTCTTTATGCAATGTTTAGAAACTATCCTACTTGGTATGTCAGACTATAAGGAGAGTAGAA